ATCTTGCTCATCTTTTGATATATTTGAGTAATTCCAAAGACATGCTTCTCTTTAAAGGGTTATCAACTAACCACTTCAAAATTTTCAAGAATATTTTATATGGAAGATGCCTAATGAAGAAGAAATATTACAAGTCCTCTAGATAGGCTAATCTTAAGGATGTGAACTTCAAATCTTATTTTATGTGCAAAGCTTGAAAATGGATGGAAGATACCCTAAGAATGCAAGAGATTATAGGTCATTTCATGCATTTTCACCAACTTCACAAAGCCATAACTTTCTCAATTCTCGGAGTTTTTAAGTGGTTCAAATCTCAAAATGTCATTTAAGGGATCTAATTCATGCCATTTTTTTGTTCAAAAGAAAATTTTGGGTGGAAGGCCATGTTTGAATGAAAAACATTATAGGACATTTTTGAGAAAAACTTAGAATTTTTCTAAGTACAAAAAGTCAACCTCTTTTTCTCAACTTTGATACATCACAACTTTTAGCTCAAGCATCCATTTGATTCCATTCTTTGCACATTGTAAAGATTATAACCTTATATTTCAAATGCTTCAAGAATCATGCCCTAAGACCCCTTGGCTATGAACACCATTGATTCAAAGTTGGTACCTTGAAACTGAATTTTTCCTCTAAGTCAGAATTTGAAATGCATAATTCAGCTTTTAATCACTAAATTTCTGCGCGTTTTTACTTCTAATCATGTTTAAAAATCTTCCATACATGATTAGCACCTTGAAACACAGGTTTTGGTTGAGTTTTGAGAAAAATAGAAGTCACACTTTTCACGCTTGCAACTTTACACGATTTCCCTCCAAACTTCATCATTCCACACGCTTGAGCATTCCATTTGACTCCCTATAAATAGAGGGTTATATCTCACTCAATTCTCAAGCTTAGACATCCATAATCACCATGCCCAACTCTTTCCTTAACCCATATTTCTGCAACTTCAAATTTGGTTTTACAACCTTCCTCAATCCATTTTCTTTGTCAATTCTTCATCCTTGAACTTCACTGAAGCTAACAGAAGAAGAACCAAGCCCTAAAGCATCCCAAATCGTGCTAGCCAAGTCAAGTTTTAGAGTTCTGAATTTGAACTTCAATAGGTAGATTCCTTCATCAATTCTCTCAAAATTTGTTACCACAATGAAGCTCTTATCATTCTGATACTAGTCGCAACATTAGTTTTCAACTAGAATTGAGATTTGATCATGAATTTTCAAATCCCTATTCAACTTTTTTCTTCTGGATTTCTTCAAATCGACTGAGCTACAACTTATATAAATTTTTCGCGAGGGTACAGTTTTCTTCGTCTTGATGAGACGAAGCGAATGACATAGGTATGAGATCCCGATTTTACATTTTGAGAGACCTGTAATTCACGTGGCTGGAGGTTGAAGATGACCAACGTGTCATCTCTCAATCAATGGCAAAGCGCCACTTTATTTTTTTCAAAATCTGATTTAAATAAATGATTCGGTGGTTTATTCACTAATGTTCATATCATGCACAACGCGTCAGATCCCTTGGATTTGATTACTAGCATGTTTTGACATTGATCCAATGGTCTACATCTTTTTGATTTTATTTTTATTTTCTAATTTTATATTTTAATTGATTTAAACTTCAAAAATTCATAAAAAAATCATTTCTGACTAAAAAAATATGAAAAAATTCTTTAAAATATTTTGGATTTTTCTCTTTCTGATTTTTATTTTTTCACAGTTTTATTTCATGATTTGATGATTTTTTTTATAATTTTTCACTTTTAATTAACTTGTTTTAATTGATTAAAAATATTTTTCTTAATTTTTAAATTCTAAAAAAATTATGGAAGGGTCCTTTAGCTTTTTTGGAAAATTTTGATAACCTTGTTTTATTTTTATTTCTCATTTTACTATTTTTTATACTATTTTTGGTTTGTTTTACTTATTTCTTTTACTTTTAAAATTAGTTTCTGACTTTAAAAATTATAAAAAAATTTGTCAACCTTTATTAAATCATATTTGATCTCTGACTTTTTTTTAGGATTTTTTATTTAGTGTTTTAATATACCTTATGTATTTTTACCATTTATTTTCCTTTTAACTAACCTTTTAAATATTACTTTTATTGAATTTTATTTTTATTATTTTATTTGATTCTGACTTGAGCATTATTTGGTGACAAATTATCCAACCTCATTGGGTCTTGGGTGCTGATAGGTTGAGAAACAAAATCCACCAAAATGAATGAATGATGTTGATGATATTTGAAACCTTAATTTCATACCTTACATCCTTTCCCTCTTCATCTTATCCCTTTCTCATTGTGTTACATATTGTTAGAGGATGACCTACATATTATCTCTCCAAACACATAACACATAAATTGCTATTGTCCGACCTTAAAATATGTGCGACTTCTATATAAGTCCACTTACGATTGCTTAACATAGCGCTAAATTTTGTCTCGATTCGAGAAATGATCATTTGTGGCCCAAACTTATGCTTGCAAGCCCAAGTATGTTTGATTTAAAACCTTTGATCTAATAACCTGGAGGTTTATTATTAGGAGACTTTGGTCTTATCAATCCTCTAATGAATCATCATAAGTTTTGGACTAAGTGAATCATTTAAACATCGTTGATCATTTATTGTTGCCTTGAGATTTTGAAACAAATGATATACTTGACAAAAAGCAAATGAAACTTGTTGTTAAGAGGCTTTGATTTTATCAATCTTCTAATGAGTTTTCAAATGCAAGTTTCAAGATGGTCATTCGACTAACCTCTAATTCCTAACAATTGACTTTTTTATGCTTTTTTTACTTTAAGCACATTTATTTTAGCATTTTCATTTCATGCTATTTTCATATTTGCTCACTTGAGCATTTATCTTTATGTCATTTTTATTTTTGCTCACTTGAGATTTTCATTTTCTTTTTGAAGATACCTAATAACCAACTTGAACAATAAATTTTTTTAATGTTACTTGGACTATTTGGTTACTACCCTTGGCATTTTGGAGTTATGGACTTCTTGGACTTAGGATTAAAGACCTTGACCTATCTTGAGACATTGTGACTTCTATTGCAATATTATCTGAAGCTCTTGGGGTTTACCCCCAAGACATTCTGTTGTTTGTTTTCTTTATGTGCAAGTTATTCTAATTATATGCTTCATCTGTGATTGGGAATCCATCTGTATACAACTGTTACTCTGCCCAATTTTTATGAAGACTTAATGCCTTTTAAGTTTGATTTTCTCAAGAAGTTTTTTTAATCTTTGCTTGTTTGGTTTCAAATCCGAAGGATGAGAATTCTACATTGACTTATTATGTCAAGTGTTGACTTCTTGTTGGTTAGACGGTTCTTTTCCCTGACTTTTACCTTATGCTTTAGGATAGGCCCTTCATCTCCTCCCATCTTCTTTAATTTCAAAAATCTTCTCCTTCCTTTTGAAACTATTCTTGTTTTTAAACTTGAACCGCTTTCACAATAAACTTGGACTTAGGTCCATGCATTTTCAAAAAATATTTTCTTAATCAAATTTTAACCAACTTAATCATATTTTGACATTTTTGTGAGAAGACTAAAAGTCAATCAATCTCATTTAAACCATTTTTCCATTTTGGCTTTTTATCTTAAAATTTTCTCAAAAGATTAGACTCTTGTCAATCCTTGTAGTGACGCAAGCTACTATACTTCTATGATATACAGTGAAGTGAGATATTTTCCACTTGGGTGTTGAGCGAGGCTTTGTTGATTTTAAAATCCAAGCTATATCCTCCACTTTGAGATGATGCAAATTCTCCTTTCTCATAATTGTGGATAGTAAGTATGTTCTTCCATTCGGATAAGACGATGATGTTTCGTCTCTTAAAATTAACCAACACACTTGTGTTTTAAAGTTTTTAAAGGTGAACTACGAGTACCCTGATCCCCTATTGCACGGAATATGGTATGTAGGCACTAAAGGTTCGCAACTGCGGAGGGTGCAAAAATTATAAATAATACTTCTTTTCTCATCTCCACCATCTATTTTTGTATACAATATTTTACAGCCAAAATACACAAATTTACAAAGAGGTTCTTGCGGAGTACCGTAGATTTCTAGGGTGCTAATACCTTCCATTTTCATAACCAACCCCCGAATTTAGATGCTCTCCCTCTCTTTTGGGTTATTCGCTCTTTTCCCATTCCTTTGGAAACAATAAAGTGCGGTGGTGATTTTTACTTGATCTATGTGAGCTAAGTCAATCCAATGGCTTAGTCTCAACATTTCTACCGATACAGTATGCGATATAATTTATTCTTCTTATTATTGATGACCTTTGTAATTTTAAAAGGTTTCTAAAAGATTGTCATTCCAGAAGAATGACACAGATAATTTTAACGCATCCCTGAAGGATGGTTATAATTTTAAGATCATTGTTTGTAACAAATTATTTATATAGTTCCTTAATAACTTATAAAGTATAACATCCTTGAAAGATAGCAAAATAAAATTGTATAGTTCATGAAGAACCTGTAACACTCTATTTGCTATTTTTTCATTTAAAATGGAGCAGGGAATTTTTTGTTCCTCATAAGAAAGGTAGTTGAGAATTTTTTTTGTTAATGTAAACACTCTATATCATTAGTTGTTATCTTAAAATAACGAGATTTAAGAGATTGAAATTCGTTTGAGATATTATTATTTCATGATTTTGATTGAGTTAGTAATTTAGATTTTAGATAGCTAACAATTAAAAGAAAACGCAAGAAGTATTATGTAACTATATTTAGTTTTTTTAGTAGATAATTTAAAGACTAATGTGTTATTTTAAATATTGGAATTTACAAAAAAATTATTTTTAAATATTGATATTTAATATTGCCTTTATAGTTATTATCTCATTATAATTTTTAATACTTAATTTTTTATCCAACTTTTTTAATGATAGAACTAAGTATGTCAAATCTTACAAAATTGGATTTTGGGGATCTTGATATTTTGCATGATAGAATTAAGTATGTCAAATCTTACAAAATTGGATTTTTGGGATCTTGATATTTTGGAAAATAACTATTTGACATGGGATCTAGACGCTAAAATTTATTTAAGCGCAAAAGGTCACATCGACACATTTATAGAAGGAAATAAATCATCTGATCAACAAAAGGCAAAATCCATCATATTCCTTCGTCATCATCTTCATGAGGATCTTAAAAATGAATACCTTACCATAACTGACCCACATATTCTATGGAAAAATTTGAAAGATAAATATGATCATAAAAAAAATGGTAATTCTCCTAAAAGTTTGATATGAGTGGATGCATTTATGTTTGCAGGATTTTAAAAGTGTAAGCGATTATAATTTTGCAATGTTCAAAATAACTTCTAAGTAGAAACTTTATGGAGAAAAAGTAATTGATGAAGATATGTTAGAAAAAATATTTTCCACTTTTCATGCATCCAATGTGCTCCTGCAGCAATATCGAGAAAAAAGATTTAATAAATATTGACATAATATCTTGTCTTCTTGTGGATGAGCAAAATAATAAACTATTATTGAAAAATCATGAGGCTCATCCCACTGGTACAACTCCATTTCCAGAAGTGAATGCGTCAAGACATGATCTCTATGGAAAAATCGTGATCCCGGTCGTGCATGCCCACATGGTCATAATTATGCTCACGGTCTTGATTTTGATCGTAGTCGCAGTGGTAATCATAAGAACACATATTTCCACCAGCAGTGGAAAAATGTTGAAAAGAATGAAAAAGAGGGTCAAAGTAGCAAAACCAATGAAAATACTTGCTATCATTGTGGAGGAAAAGGTCATTGGAGTCACACTTGTCGAACTCCAAAACACCTTATTGATCTTTATCAAAATTCATTGAAAAATAAAAAGGCAAGGATTGAAACTCACTTTTCTAATGAAGGTGATGATCCAAATTATGGTAATATGGATGTTAACCATTTAGATGTTGGTGACATTTTTTGCTGAGCTAGATGGAAAAATTGATCACCTTATTGGAGATGGAAGTGTCAAATAATAAAATTTATGGAAATTTCCTTTTTAGTTATTAATAAGTTTTTTTATGGATGTTTTGAATTTTATTTTCTAATAATAATAATAATAAAGTGTATTTTCTACTTGTTTATTCACATAATTTATTGTTTAAATGACTTGTGTTTTTATAACTTATTGTTAAAAATTATTATTGCTTTAGAATGAATATGGATACTAGCACCAGTAATGAAGATATGCGTCTTGCTGACAGTGCAACAACCCATACAATTCTCAAGGATAAAAGATATTTCTATAATTTAGTGAATCGAAAGACTGATGTCAGTACTATATTTGGCACCTCGAAAATAATCGAAGGCTCTGGAAGAGCCAATATGTTGTTACGTGGAGGAAAAATATTGCACATTGATAATGCATTATATTCCCCTAAGACTCATAGAAATTTATTAAGTTTCAAAGGTATTCACCTAAATGGATACCATATTGAAACAAGAGATGAAGGAGGGATCAAATATCTTTGTATTACAAAACACAATCCAGACACAAAATGTGTAATGGAAAAGCTATCGGTTTTATCCTCTGGCTTGTACTACACTTATATTAGTACAACTGAAGCACATACAATTGTAAACCAGAAGTTTACAAATAATGATAAATTTCTAATTTGGGCCAATACATCCATCATGTGGACCATTTAGATATTTATGGTTTTAATTGATGCATCAACTAGATGGTCACATATTTGTTTGTAGTCAACTCGCAACTAGACGTTTGCGAGATTGCTAGCTCAACTAATTTGAATAAGAGCTCATTTTCCCGATTATCCTGTCAAGAAAATACGTCTTGATAATGCTGCAGAATTTTTGTCTCAAGCATTTGATGAGTATTGTATGTCTATTGGAATTGACATTGAACACCCAGTAGCACATGTTCATACACAAAATGGACTTGCAGAATCATTTATTAAATGGATAAAATTAATTGCAAGACCACTTATTATGAGATGCAACCTTACAGTTTCCGCTTGGGGACAAGAAATTTTGCATGCGGCAACATTGATTCACATCAGACCAACGAGTTACTACACCTCTTCCCCTTTATAATTAGTTTTTGAAAAAGAACCTAATATTTTCCATCTAAGAATTTAAGGATGTGCGGTGTATGTTCTAATTTCTCTACCACAATGCAATAAGATGGGTCCACAAAGGAGAATGGGAATATATATTGGATATGAATCTCCATCCATTATAAAGTACCTTGAACCAACAACGAGAGACTTATTCACTGCTCATTTTGCTGATTGTCATTTTGATGAATCAAATTTTCCAGTATTAGGGGGAGAGAATAACAAGCTGGAAAAGAGATCAGTTAGAATTAATTATCATTATCTCATTTTGATCCTCAAACAAAACAATGTGAACTAGAAGTTCAAAAGATGATTTAGCTGCAAAACTTAGCAAATCAATTCCTAAATGCATTCTCTGATCCAAAATGTGTGACTAAATCATATATACCAGCTGCAAATGCTCCAACAAAAATTGATATCCCTGTTGGACAAATTAATGAGTCACAACCATGCCTGAAGCATGGAAAACCAATTAGTTCCAAAGATAAAAGTTCTCGAACAAGAAAGGAAGCTAAGAACAAATATGGCCCAAGTGAGGATATAGAAAATCTAAAAGAAGCATTATACATAATTGTTAGCTCTCTGGTTGTATGATTGGCATTAATTTTAGTAAAACAAATGGGGTAGCAATATGTTAAATAAGATGAGTTAACTTGCTGAGAAAAATAGGTTGAACAAGAAGTCTTACATTATGAATAAACATGTTAAGTTGGGATGTTTTATTAACTGAAGCAAACATGTCAGACAAGATGTCCTATGCAGAGTCATTCGACATCATGATTGTGTTAGGCTGAGCTGTTGGATCGGTTGAAGATTTAACAGATGTAGAATATTCTGGAAATATTATGCTATCCTATGTGGTGTTGATTTTAAGGTCTGGAAGATTCAAGTTGAATTCAAGAAGAATATTGACTTTCTAATTATGGAAACAAATTAGGAAGAATATGATTGAAGACCTATTTTTATGTATACGTTTTTGCATATTTATAGCAGCTGATATGCTGCAATTTGAAGCCCAAATCTAGTTGGGAAAAGGGTTATAAATAGAAGTGTTTATAACCTAAAATGGTACGAATCCAATATGTAGAAGCATTAGGGCTTTGTCTGTGTGCCATTCATTAGGAGAGTTTGTCTATGTTATTTATAAGCCTCTTGAATATCATGTTGATAAAAGTGTAGGATTGTTCCTTGAGTTGTAAGGTTATGTCATTCATTCATAAGCTTGTAAGCATTGAATTTTTGTGTGTCAATCTCAAGCTTTTAAGCATAGAGTCGATTATTGTTCTTGGATGAAGCTTTGAATAAAATCCAAGTGTGTTTGTTATTCAAGAGTCTTAGATGAACTTTGTGATTGTTAGATATCACTAAGGTGATTTAGGAAGTGAGATGACGATTTCTCATATTTAGGGAGGACCTAAGTAGAAGTGTCATTGGGTAGGGATTTTGCGAGAAGTTGTAATTGGGTGAATTTAGTTTTGACTAATACTGCTGATAGTGAACTTTCTTCCTTGCTTGGTAGCCCCCAGAGTAGGTGTTGTTGTACACCAAACTGGGTCATCATATCTTTGAGTTATTATCATTCTACACTGTTTAGTTTTGTTTCTTGATTGACTGGCATGTCATATAATATGTTGGAACACCTGTCATGACTCTATTCTGATATGAATTATATCAGTGTGCTTTATTCAGGACAAGTATTGTTATGCATATATATTTGTCTCAACATGTGTTAGGACATTGTTATTAGAGCATGCATCTTGTTCTATTATGGGTGAGATCTAGGGAGATACTTTCTGGTGCATTGGACTTGAAGGAACAAATTAAAGTGTTGGTTGTAGTTGTTGATATAACTGTGGTGTTAATTGTGAGGCGTTTCTCTGATGCTTGTGCCTCTATAGTGTGAACGTGAATAACTCATATTATTCTGGGATGATTCCTTGAGAAGGATCATTGAGTATTTTTGACAGGGTGAGTATTGGACATGTCTGAAGTTGTCAAACATGTAGCTTTGATGGTGAGTTGTTGTATTGTGTTTGATTTATTTTCAAACCTCTGGTGTTCTATTGTCATCTGAGTTATGGTGATTATGTGCAAGGGTTATTTTGTTCTGCCCTGAAGGGTGTGGAGGAGTTGTTTATGTGTGATTCATTGCGCGTGTCTGAAAAACTCCTGATGGTTTCGTGTATCTCTGGTGTTGAATCCATAGAGAGGTTTGCCCTTGTAATACTATAAGGAAGAGCTTTGTGATTTGTTCTTCTCTAAAGGTTATCTATGGTGTTGTGATACTTGGAGGATAGCTTCAACCAACCTACTAAAGTTGTCAAAGATACTTGAGCTTCATCTCAAGTCCACTCATAAAGGCATTTTTAAATGAGTTTTTTGAAAAGAGATATGAAGAAAGTATGAAGCAATCTATTTTTTCTTCCAACCCTAAAAGGCCAATCTCTAGTCTTTGATAAATGATCTCTTGTTGTGTCCCTTGGAATGATGTCCTACCAGATGTTAGAACAGCATATCAGCAAGTTATGAAGATTTCTGGTGGCTAAAGGAATGGTATTGCACATGCTTTAGGTGCTAAACAAATGTGTGTTGATCATATATGTTTAGAACCTTCTCCTAATTTGGAAGAGGAGGCATCTTGGTTGTGTGTCTAAGAAGTTTATTTCCTAGAAACATGTCTTAGATAAGTGTGCTAGTCATGAGATGATAAATATCTTACTTACTCCTTGGGTAAGTTTATCTCTGATCAAAGTATATAGGAGTGCAAAATCTGAGTTCTATTCTCTAGTAGAGAATTTTTTTGAAGGCATCAGATTGTTTATGTATGAAGGTTAAGTTCAAAAGATACTTCTGTTAAAAGGAGCCAGATTTATGGAAGCTTGCTTGTGTCTATCTTGCTGTAATGGAACAATTTCTGCTGGAACTAGGGGGAGTTCCATCTGTTCTGGAGTTTGAAGACCTTGAATAAATTTCAGATACAATGTCTTGACATCTTTATGTTGGGAATTTATGTATCTCAGTATGTCTGGCTGGTGTTTCTAATAAACAATATGAAGGTTGTTTACTCAAACTTGATATTATTATCAGGTCTATGAGAGCATGGAACTCTTGTTCTATTGTAGTGGAAAAGACATCCAAGGGGTTGTATGCAATGGAAAGGTATCAACTTGAGTTAAGTTAATTTTCTTTAGGAAGACACAAGTGGTTATGGTATGTATTGTTATACCCCAATTTTCGTCCATAAGATCTCTCATCATCTCATATCATCAATGCATCAAGATCACACATTAGGGTTGGTTCTCTCTTTCTACTTCATCATATCTTTAATTTTTCTCTTGAGGGATTACCAAGTACCTTGAATTGTATATCTTGTACATGTGTTCTTTAAACTAACATCAAAATATGTATATATGTTTCTTTGAATGTTCATATTGTAGGTGATGATACAATTGCATCCATCTCACCATTTAACCTAGGGTTTGAGGGTTGATCCTTAATCAAATGATTATTTAATGGATTGCAAGATATTAAGATTCAAGGCATTGTGTACGATATCAAAGATTTGTGGTTCAAAGAGCTCTCTCACTTTATTTAGGTCAAATGTTCCTCAAGGTTGGTGGTGGCGTTCATCAATAACATCCATAGATTTATGTGTTTATTTCCATGCCTTCTTCAACAAGTTTCATTGTGACTTAAACTTCATCTTTGAGTGTGTTTCTAGACAAAATCATTTCAAGGCCAATTGTGATCCATCAAGGTTTATTTTTCCAAGAAAGTTCAAAAAGATTCAAGGTTGATTCAACAAGTTTGACCTAATTGAACAAGTACTTGATTAAGTGATCACATATGAATAACTCTCTCAATTTTCAATATTTTTAGTTGGTTCTTTTTTCTATAGG